ATAGAATGTTTGATCCTACTTTTTGATTTTATGGATTGAGAAAATTTCATAACTAATTTTTATACTACTAGTGAGTAGTCAAACAAATCAACGTGATTTGTTTCTTTCGATGGGATGCTTTTAATGAATTTTCAAATTCAATTTCAAGTTCAGTTAATTGTGTCTCATTTCTCATTTTGCACAAATTGTTACAGATATGATAAAAGTTAATTTTTTTGATTGGTTTATACGAAAAATCTCTCAATCAAGCTTCTGTTACAATGAAGGTAAAAGTAGATATTACGAGTATTTTAAACTGAAAACAGATATAATGAAACTAGATAGTAAGAATTGAATGTCAACTTAGATCTTAAACTTTCAAAATTGTTATGACCGGAAACTTCCATCCTTTCCTAACATATGCCTCCTGAAATGTCTTCGGAGTTCATTATTTGAGAAGCAACTTGCTTAGAAATTGGCTAACGTATGTAGGCTGACATGCATAAAAACGATAATTCATTGTGCTACTTAAATGTTCTAAGTTACGTATAGATGAAATTACACCATACGATCTATATAATCATACCGTAAGAACTTGATAATCACCAGGGGATTTACAAATTTCACATATACGAATTGTATTTATTCTTGAGTGCATTCTTTAAAAATGTAAAATTATACCGCATACTAATATTACTTAGGATTAGATTTTGAGAAATATGAGGTGATTTAAATTTTATACAAGGTTATTAAACATACTAGCATCAATTCATTACCACCAGAAAAGGTAATTCATAAAAGACTCACGTTAAATCAACAAAAATTCAACGTATTACGGTAGTTTTGCTCTCTATAAATTTCAAATCAAATAACTCTGGAAAAAAAATAGTAAAATAGTACACCTAACCATTGACGTTATATGTTTCTGTTTAAAATTTTGGTTCAATTTCTTCAATCACGTTTTATAGTGGTTGTAAGACCCATTTTTAAAGGCTTTGTTTGTGAAAATCCCTCCATGTATACATTTGTAATTTGTTCTTATTGATTCATTCAATTGTACGTTTTGTCAGTCTGTTGGATTCCATTTTGAAGTGATAATATTTGTATCTTAATATAGTTTATATTTCTTATGCCTTCACTGAGTTTCTATGTTTCTTTCTGAACTGCATTTATGTTGTTTAAGCTGATACTTTGTCATGACGACAGCCAACTTGATTTGTTCCTCCTTTGATTGGATTGCTTGCTTTGACTAGAATTGTGCATTTTGATTGTAAATTAGAGCACTCTTCCAGAATTGGAAACACTCTGTGTTATAAATCAACCAAATATTATCTTTTGAATGAATCTGATCTATCCACAAAGGAAAGAAAAAAATTTAATTGTTGCTGTTGATTTGATTAATTGAACAATTGTTGGTGGAATAACTAAGTGGTAATATTTGTTTAGGTAATAATATATATTTATATTGATGATGAATATTAGAACCGTCATTTACTGGGCAACTTTTACTGCGTATCTAAAATACCTAGACAGTTGTTCCTCAATCCAAACCTCAGTTTGGATTCTACAGTGGTCAAGCGACATAGAACCGCAAGTAAAGTACCATTATATTTTAAAAAGTATAAAGTTAAATAATCTCCTGTTCAGTGTTCCCTAGTTTTCTATAAGTATTCCATATAAACTAAGTCCGTTGACAAGAATTTATTAAAAATTAAGTGAAAATCCATCAAACTGCACTGTTGTTATTAATATAAAATAACTACAAGTTTCAGCAAAGCTTCCAGAGAGATTTTACACTCGTTCATCTTAATTACTCTCCTTGTGGTGCGAGCTACTTATAAGTAGTATATGACGTGAGTGTCAACGTAATGTCTGGCAGCAGAAGATGGGGGAAGATCAAGAAGAAAG